GGACCTGGCAGCAGGTTGCCTGCTTTTCCTCCTATTCCACCCATCTTGTCATGGGCTTTTGTTTCGTTTCTCTTTATTTTTTGTTTCTTTGCCTAGTTCTGTCTGTGTTTCTGTTGCCTTCTCTCAGAGCTGTTGTTCCTTGAGAAAAATGAAATCATAATATGTAATCAGGATTCGGTCTCTCTCTCTCTCTCTCTCTCTGTATCTGTCTCTCTCTCTGTCTCTGTGGGGGAGTGTGTGTTGTGTGGGAGTAAAAATTCATTGTTCCGGCAACTTTCAATGCAAACTCGAAGCATAATTGATTGGATTGTGCTCAGACCGATGGAAGGATACACAAGGTATATTGGAGATCTGTAGGCACGCCCATTTGGGGAGTGACATCATGCCCAGAGCCAGAGTTACGTAGAAGTTTTTGCAGCCTTTTGCTTTCGCATTGAATTATGGTTATATATTGCGCTTGAAGCCGCTTACAAAACGGTCTCCAATATCTCGTCATTTAAATGCCGTTCAGAACTGGTTAGCCACCTAATGGCCTAATGCCGCATGACAGCATCAAAGTTGATTTTAAATTGGCCCAAAAATATATCCAGAAGATGTGCTAAGCACTGAAGATTGAAATTCCTGTCTATCGATTGGCACTGCACTTAAATCTAATTAGATAATTGATCCGTAAACGATACACAGCCATTCCATACATGGAATACAGCTGGTGTGGCCTCCATATATCATCACATACCATACAATGCCCAATGCTCTGCCTCCACTCCACTCCACTCTGATCAGAAATAAATCAAAATAAAATCACCAAAAATAAAAAAGAAAATAAAAAAATACTCGTGCAAAGAAAAAAAGAATAAAAAGAAATCAAAGACCATTCAGAGGGCCTTGAACTTGAACAACAATTGAAATTGTTGGATTATCAAATCAAAAACAAAACAGCAACAGCAACAGCACAACAACAACAACAACATCAAAACGAACAAACAGAAATCTGAATAACAGAACAAAAGTCAAAAAGCAAAAAGCGAATAAAAAACAAAAACAAAAACCATCATCCGAGAGTGAGAGAGAGAGAGGGTGAGCCAGTGGACAGGGGACAGGGGACAGAGGGACCTGTGGTGGCTGTGGGCAATGTTAGTGCAATTAATTAAAAAGCTAGATTCACACACACACACCACACACACCACACTCACACACACATACACACACACACATACACATACACCCATATGCAATGGCATTACAAAAATAGGGGGAAACGCAGGGGCATGGCACCCCATAACCCCCTGATTTGAGAGAAACAAAGGCCCAAATACCCTTTCCTAATCCGTATGCAAACTCAATTTTTATTATGTTTTTAGTGTTTTTATATGTATATTAAGTATTTATATATTTTATTTACTTAAAATTCTTAAGAACTGATGGGCGTATTCTTCTCATAGAACTACAAAAATACGATTTGTTTTTTTAAAGTTTTAAAGTGAAAGAAACATTAAAAAATGTTAGAAATCTTCAATTTTAGCTTAGCAAAATATATCTTTAGGCTTTTGGCTGTGACTGTACATATCGACACGAATAAAAAAAATTATACGAAAGGTCATATAATATTCTCTTTGTCATCCAAACATTTTTTGGATATTATATCTGCAAATGGCGTGTAAAAGCCAACGAATTAAAAAAAAAAAATATTTCTGGCTTATATATATTGCAAATTCCAGGCTATAAGGCTAAGATATAATCATCTTCAGCCTAATATTTAGTTTTTATCTTATTCCATAGATATCTTAAAAAACTAAGGAGCGAATCAGACACTCGTTCGTAAGCGTAATTTAATCGGTTATCCTTTCGATGCTGCAATCAGACATACCCTCACCACAGTGTATGCAAATAAAATACCACATGTGTGTAAAAAAAAGAGGAGGAAAACTTTGCACAAATTAAAAAAAGAAAACAAAAAAACAACAACAGCAACAAGAATGGTCGACTCAACATTCGATTCTCTTTTTCTTTTGCACTCTTTGCAGAGTCTCTCGCTTTCTCTTTCGCTCCATCCATCCATCCCTTTTGCTCTTGCACTTGTGCTTTTACAGTTGTTCTTGCATTGGTTGTTTTGATACCCTGCAAGCGGCGCGAGACATGGGTATATTGAAGGAGAGCTAAGCACTGGCACAAGTATCGTTTCAGAGACAATGGGACTAGGTCCCATCGTATAGAATTAATTATTAAATTAAATATTAAATTAAATTAAATATTAAATTAATTATTAAATTAAATATTAGCAGAGCAGTAGAAAAGTGCAACCAAGGGAGTGCCACTTGCTGTGAAAATCCTTACGGGGTGTGCCCATAGTCTGCCATATATGTATATTCCCCTGTAGGCCAGGCCATGCGATTGCCGGACTTGTTTTCTGATTGAATTGAAAACATTTTATGCATTTGATTTAATCAAAAGAAAAACAGAATGCGAAGGCCCATTGCAGCAGGCAGCCAGAAAGCAGAAATCAGAAAGCAGAAAGCAAGCACATAGATAGAATGCTGCGGTGCGGTGCGGGAATAGGCATGGATACGGGGTACGGGCGGGGTACGGGGTTCAGGTTCAACCAGCAAAATGCTGGGCCTGCCCATGGTAGCCCATGGTGGTGGTGGTGGCGCGGCAGTCATGTCATTCAAATGAAATGCAAAATGGCATTCATTCATGCAATTTGCATTGTTTGACGGTTCCCGGGGACACAAACCAACCGACCGCCGACCGCCGACCATCGACAGACCTACAATGTGCGAGTATGTACTCGTACTCGTACTCGTATATGTGCCTCATTCACTTACTTCCACTTCCACTTCCACTTCCGATCCGTTCCGATCCGATCCAGCCCGCACCCCCCACTGGCTAAACGTTTCGTTGGGCCACCTGTGCCCACCAAACAGTCATGTGGAGGAGGAGTGGGAGGAGGAGTAGGAGTAGGAGTGGGAGTAGGGGAGCTGTCACTGACTCTGTATGATGTGAATAAATAGAATAGAAACAGAAAACACTCTTCAGCGATTTGTAGATACTTAATTTGTGATTCTATTCCGAATACCCATCTCCAAAGTTCAATTTATAATCCGTTCCCTGCATGATATGTCCTCGGATTCCTCGAATATCTTTGATTCTGCGGGTTGAGTGAAGTGTGTCCTCTCTCTCCCCACCCCCTGCTGGCACAATGTTAATTAACTTTTGCCCCAAGTTGGAAATTTCCACACATACTCGCACCACTCGTATGCTACAGTCCAGTGCCCAGTCCTTTTCGCTCCTCCTGAGGTCAGCGGCCCAAACAGTTGAAACTTTTTTTTTTTGTTATTTGCGCATTTCCCTGGCGCATTTTCCCTGCTTTGCCACTGCCACTGCATCTGCCACTGCTCCTGTTCCTGTCCCTGCTCCTGTCCCTGTCCCTGTTTTTGTGTGTGTTTTGTGTAATTCATTTGCCGTTTTGCTTGTAATTTGTTACAGTTTTTTAATCTTGCATTGTTCTAAGCAGCAGCAGCAGCAGCAGCAGCAGATCCTTCAGTCCATGCCCGTCAGACGGAAGCTTGAATGAAGGACACCCGGACAGGGACACGGCGACTGACTGACGGACGTGACCAGCGGGCAAGGCAAGGCAAGGGCACTGCAGAGCAGTGCAGATGCAGATGCAGATGCAGATGTAATCAACATCATAATCATTGGCGACGGCCAGGCCAGCATTTTGCTGGCATCCCCCACACACATTTGCATCCTCATTGTCCGGAAGCGACAGGAGGAGCCGTCGCTGCTTGCCTGCCTCATCATGATGTTGCCACTTCTGCTGGCATATGCCCTGCCCCTGCCCCTGCCCTGCTCCGCCGCCATAGTGATGCCCGGGACCTGTCCGAGTTGGGCAAAACTCATTTGGTTCGCATGTGTGTGAATCGCAGTCGATGGAGCCTAGCGATGGGTGCGTGAATCGGAAGGTTTATGGCGCATATAGCACCTGTGATTCCAAAGTGCTTGGATACACATATATATTCCAGATAAACGGAGTCTTTGGCTCGGGTATCTTAATGTCAGCCTCGAATGCTAGGGCCTAGCTTTGACAGATTGTTTCGCGTTTACGTGTGAATGGCAATTGTGAGATCTCAGCTGGAAACTATCGTGTTATCGTGTTATCGTGTGTGGGTGTACTTTGTACAGTCATCTCAAATCCATATGGCACGACATGACACGTCCTCCCGCCTCCTTCCTTATATGTAATTTTTTTTTTCTTTTTTAATTATTATAATTTTACACACACACACTCCAAGAGAGAGGGAGAGCAGAGTGAGGAGAGTGAGGGAGTGCACATGGGCAACAACAATGGACGAAGGCGGCGCTATCGCATAATTCATTTGAAAGGCGCACAAAAGGCGCGCATGGAAATGGAATTGAAATTCATACACCAACAGAAGAGAACCCCACACCACATCCCCCCCACTCACAAACAATAATATATATTAATAAAAACGCAAAAAAAAAAAAAAAAAGAGCGTGAGAGGGTTGGGTGAGTGAGAGAACTATAGAGTTGGGATGTGTGAATGCCGGAATACAATAAAATAAAAATAATAATCATCCAAAGCCCAACCACAGATGAACAACGGACGAACGAGTACATTCCACAATTGTTTTTACTCTTATGAGTAATTTTTGTGTTTGCCCTCCCTCCACTTGTTTCGATACGGTTATGATATAGTAGTCTATGTATACGGATGTACGGAAATGGTGAGTGGTGAGTGGTACCGGTATAGGTACCTGAGGCCTTGCTTGCTTCGTCTTAGCGTCGAAGGAAAACTCCAACGTGCTGCCAAAGAACTCCAGTTATCCGGACCAATGCCCCCATACAAAAAATCATAGCAATCGCAGCTCTAAATGTTTATTTACTGTCTCCAGAGGAGAGCTGTTTTCTTCCCTGACACTGCGCTGGGGTCCTGTTGGATGTTAACTTCCTTCTTGCAGGCCATAAAGTACGGCAGTGGAGGCAACCCTGGGTTACGAGCTCAGAAATATCATCCAGGATCCTGTGGAAGAATCATTGCATTCTCGCATGGTTCTGCAGCTGGCAAGCTATGACGGAACCTACCAGCAATCAGTCCCCACATCTCTGTACTGTGGTTGGACACCTCTGCCTCCGAATGCAGCCCCTTGCAGGTTCCTCGAACGCCATTGCACTGCAAAGAAACGACAATATGTAAGCAGGCGGCCACACTTTTTGTGGCCTGCTGTCATACTTTATGTGCAACTTGCAGCCAGGGAGCGCAGCATCGAGCAGGACCACCAACGCATTGTCACGGAGGATAAGAGCCATCCTCCTCCTCCTCCTCCTCCACTTCGATCTTCGATCTGCGAACTACTGTAGAGGAAAGCTGCTGCCGACACGGCCACCGATCCGGCCACCCGGTGGAATGCAACGTACGACCACTTGGCCGCAGTGGCAGTGGCACGCTGCACTTGCGTCGCGGCAATCTTCAAATTTTGGTCATTAAAACTAACACATAATAAAACTTGGGAAATTAACCAATTTTGGGAAGAAAAACGAACTGAACTGAACGCGCGGCGAAAGTAAACTGAACTGAAACATTTTCCACTGAGGCTCCCAAACAATTAAATGTCAAAAATGAATTTCATGGCCTGCCCTCCTGATAATTATAATTATCGATACATCGGGGCGTTACGTCAGCAAAGGATGTTCCTTTAGGCTGTCAACACTATAAATTTCGGCAATGGATTAACGACTTGCAATGGCTAATTGTCAGCTGCTTTCACTAAAACAACTTGATTTGACCTGTTTATTATATATGTTAGATATTTATTAGGTACGAGTATGTTTGTATATGCATGGTTAAGAAATGAGTTATATTATTTTATTGCGGACTTGTTTTCTTGGCACTGCAACATGGCAATACGCAAAAAATTCCCAAAGCAATAGACAACTTAAAGTTAAGCCCAATACGTATAACAAAAGTACAACACCTCCTAGTAGTCTTTAAACAACTCTTTTTATCCATTAAAAACTCACACAAAAAACGAAACAATCCAATACGGCCTCTTCTCAGAAAAATTCCATTTGCTACGACCCGCTCTCTGCAATGAAATCCCCCGTATGCCCAACTACAGCCCACTAACAAGAAACCTTATCACTTAACATTATCCGAGAAATAGTTCTGATTTCGGTACCCCGACACATGGGTATCAGATCATGCTGCCAAACACAACTACAAATTACCTCTCATTACACAACACCAAAGATATACATATGTACATATGTGCGTATGTAGTATCTCAGGATCTTACCTCAATAAAAACAAACAACAAACTAATTGAAAAAACCTCCAAGCTGCTAGCGAGAAATCAACAGCACGCAAACAAATAATACTGAACGTAATCCGCCAGGGCCGACAACACGGAACTAACAACTGCCTTTTACTTGGACAACAATTTAAACAGCTGTTGTCCTGTCTGCAAGAAACCAGATTGAACACATTCTAAAATACTGTAATACAGATTTACACATAACAGAGCCTTCCATCCAGACTTCCGACTGGGGATTGGGGATCAAAATGGATTTTATGAGACTCGTACAAGTTGTAGACTCTAAGCTCTTCAATGGATCTTCGTAAATGGAGTTTACTAATTGCAAATTGCTGATTGTCAGCTGTTTCAACTGAACCAAGTTTATTTTCTTTGTGTAATTAATTATGTACTCATTTCTCAGCCACGCAGCCACAATGTTGTCGGCCATTTTGTATGAATATAGGATTTAAATTACTTTAAATATAAATTGATATGGGTATATCTTATGCCCGGCCTATACGAATGTTCGATCTGCAGGCTTGTACCACGTTTCGGTTCGCCTTCTTTTCTTTTCTCTTTTATTTTATTTTATCGTGTCGCCTCTACCCCTGCCCTGCCACTATTTCCGTATTCATGCCTGACACACAGGATGGGCTGGTGGGGGGGGAGAGTGCGAGTGGCTATCAGCCCTCCCTCGCTGCTGCTCTTTCTCACTCTCGCTTGGCTGGAGGAACTCTCTTTCACCCAGTGACCGCGACGCTTTTGTGCAGGGTGTATCCAAACAGGGTGAGACATTTGCTAATATAAGCGCTAATCGAGTGGCATATTTTCTCTATCACTCCCTTCCGTGTACCACCCACTAGACCACAAGTGAAGGAATGCAACATGTGTTGGGGTGAAGGCCGCACCCTGACAACCATACACCATGCATCAGTCCGCGCGTGTGTGTGTGTGTGCTGCTGCTGCTGCTGTTGCTGCCGCTAATTCTGCCGATAAGCCCGGCTTTGCAGCATTTTTAATTCAGTTTTCAGTCAGCACTCAGTTCGGCGCCCATTTGCATGTGTGCAGCCCAGCCCAGCCCCCCCTTAGTGTGTTGTCGCTGCAGCAAGTGAAATTTCACCTAGTTTTTTGTTCCTTTTTTTTTCCCCGTTCCGTTCCGTTCAGTGTTATTTTTTTTGTTGTATTTCTTTTTTGGCTGCCGCTATCTTGCTTTGGCGCATATAGCATATAAAAAGAGCAGCATAGCCGGGCTGTACAGTTAGAAAGGAAGATGCGGTTCAGCGGCCACAACCGTTATCACTGCTCGACGCCGACGGCGACAGTGACGCTGGCGGTCTGCATTTGCCTAGCCCTTGGCGCAGGGCTGACGCAGGCCAACGACAGCGCCGAGGCAATCGGCAGCGGCAGCGGAAGCGGCAGCAGCAGCAGGTGTGTTTCCACTTCCCTCCATATCCCCAAAAACCCAACGAAAGTGCACTCTAAAATCTAAATTCAGCCCAAATTTCGCCCAAAGTGAAATTGGCAACAAGGTCTTGAAGCAAAAGTGGTTTTTCCAGACAGCTTTCCCAGCTTTTCTCTTGTGCAAAAGTGAAGATCTTCTGAAGATCGCATCCTAGAAATGAAAGCGAAAATGTTTGCGCGTTAGCTGCAAATAAAAGAAAAATTAACGAATATTTACAAATGGATGAAAGTTAAATTTAAATCAATTAAAATTAAATTTTGTGGTTTTTTTCTTCAGTTTTTGTTTGTTGCGATTTAAAGTGAAAATAATATGGGGAGGCTCTCTCTATAGAAACAAAACAACTCTCTTAGTGAAAACCTACAAACCCAAACGGAGCCAATGCTACAAGTGGAGACTTAAAGGTTTATTATAGAATTATGTTATAACTCATTCAATTTAATGAAGAGAGAAAATTCAGAACTGATAAAAAGTCACCCGAGGCTTGGGCAATGGGGAAACAATTCCTGCTTGAACGAACTTAAATTCAAGATAAATAAAACTGTATTTCCCTTAAGCTGAGAGATAACTGAAAAGATCCCCTTATGGGTGGCACTATCACGAAGTTAATAACGAATCGCAGAACCCCCTCTCATAAGTAATTTAAATATTACAAACCAAACTAATAGAAATTAAAGAACTTTAAATGCGAAAAATATGTACATATGTATGTCAAAAAATTGTTCCATATCTTGGGGCGTTTCATACATACATATATAATGCGTAGCTCCTCTGCAATCTTTGTGGGTCTTTCGAGTGGAACGGAACTCCCTGGACGCAGCGTTTGATAAGCTTATCGAATGGTCTTCCGACCGAGCGTCGACAACAGTCATTCGCTTTCATACGAGTATTTGAATATTTCAGAAAATGGCTGTGCAGCCAAACGACGGACATCTGTACGTCCGAGGATGAGCTGGTGGATAATGTGCCGTATCTGGAGGAGCGATTCGAGAGCCAAAGGGACTGCCGGCTGTCGTGCGGCAAGTATGGCTCCATTTGGCCCATGCCGACGGGCGAGGAGTGCAGCCTGTCGCACGAGCGGGTGCACTTTGATCCGTGGAAGGTGCGCTTCCATGTGGTGGCACCCAGCGACGTGACCACGCAGTTTTTGCGCGAAACGAACCGCCTGTTTGTGAGCAATCTGCTCAAGGAGTGCACCCGCAACTGCACATTGGCCAGCAGCAAGCAGATCCTGGTGCGGGCGACTGTCGGCAGCAACAGCCTTGTGCTCGACTGGCGGACGGACGAGAGCTACTCGATGGTGCTGCGCACCACGGAGACGGCCACCTTTGTGGACATCCAGGCGGGTACAGTGTACGGGGCGAGGCACAGCTTCGAGACGCTCAGCAACCTGGTGACGGGCAGTGTGACGAACGGCCTGCTCCTGGTTAGCGCCGCCCGCATCTCCGATCGGCCCGCCTACCCGCATCGCGGCGTACTGCTGGACACCTCGCGCAACTTCATACCGCTGCGGTATCTGCGGAGCACCCTCGACGCCATGGCCGCCTCCAAGATGAATGTCCTCCACTGGCATGTGGTGGACACGCACAGCTTCCCGCTGGAGATCACCCGTGTGCCGGAGATGCAGCGCTACGGCGCCTACTCCCCCGCCCAGACCTACTCCCGCACGGACGCCGTCAATCTGGTGAAGTACGCCCGCCTGCGGGGCATCCGCATCCTCATTGAGATCGATGGACCGTCGCATGCGGGCAACGGCTGGCAGTGGGGGCCGGCGGCAGGGCTGGGCAACATGTCCGTGTGCCTGAATCAGTCGCCCTGGCGACGCTTCTGTGTGCAGCCGCCGTGCGGCCAGCTGAACCCCATGAACGATCACATGTACGCGGTGCTGAAGGAGATCCTCGAGGATGTGGCCGAGGTGGGGGCACCGGAGGAGACCGTGCACATGGGCGGCGACGAGGTCTTCCTGCCCTGCTGGAACAACACGGAGGAGATCGTGACCAAGATGCGGGCCCAGGGCTACGATCGCAGCGAGCAGAGCTTCCTCCGGCTGTGGTCGCAGTTCCATCAGCGGAATCTCAATGCCTGGGACGACATCAACGAGCGCATGTATCCCAGCATCAAGGAGCCCAAGCCGGTGATCATCTGGTCCAGCCACCTCACAGTTCCGAAATACATTGAGACCTACCTGCCCAAGGAGCGGTTCATCATCCAGACGTGGGTCGAGTCCCAGGACCCCCTCAACCGGGAGCTGCTGCAGCGCGGCTACCGCCTGATTGTTTCCACCAAGAACGCCTGGTATCTGGACCACGGCTTCTGGGGCAGCACCAGCTACTACAACTGGCGCACCGTCTACGGCAGCGGCATGCCGATGGGCAATCACAGCGCGCAGGTCCTCGGCGGCGAGGCGTGCATGTGGAGCGAATATGTCGATCACAACTCCTTGGGTGAGTGCATGCCAACCCCCCACTCCGCTCCCTTTTGAGAGAGACTTTCATATATTCCGATCCTTTGCAGAGTCCCGCATCTGGCCACGAGCTGGTGCGGCTGCCGAACGCCTCTGGTCGAATCCAAAGTCTTCGGCCGCGGTGGCCCAGCGTCGCTTCTATCGCTATCGTGAGCGGCTCCTGGCACGTGGCATCCATGCGGACGCCGTCATTCCACGCTGGTGTGTCCTCCACGAGGGCAAGTGTCTCTAGACTCTAGATCGTTATAGAGAGAGCGAACAGCACTGTGTATATACATATGTTCTCAGTCTACTATCAGTTATGTTATCTCCATCGTTTATTATCCATACACAACAACAAAAATCCATTCTTATCCAACAAGAATCAACGTTTCTGATTGATCGTTTGAGGGGGAATCAAAATACCTGATGTTGGATGCATTAGATATCATTTTGCATACCTTCTTGCTGCTTTCACGCGTAATGCGGTGTTGCCCCTCGGTTGGTATTCTCATATTTAATCATTCTCAATTGAATCAAACGTTTTTCATATCCATTGTATCTAGAAACTTCTGCAGAGCACATCTTTGCATTGCCTTGGGGATCTTCTGTATTGGATTTGTGGCTATATATTTCTAGATTTTGGCTGCAGTTCTTAATAGCTAATCGTGCTGAATGCTGAACCGTTTGGCGCTGGCAATCCCACGAATAATTGACCGTATAAGGGATTATCCTAAGAGATTATTGTCGCATTGTCCAGAACAGTATTAACCACAATCTTGATCAATCGAGAGACGAAGAGACTCCTCCACAATACACGACTTCTAGACGCAACTACAGTACAGTCCATCTAAGAGGGAGACTCTATTTCGTGCAGAAAAAAAATTACATTATATTAGATATAGATTATACGATATAGGTTATAGGTTATATGCGATATGATGTGGGATATAGAATACATAGCCAACAATACAGGATGGGGGATAATACACTGGACAGCATATATATCCTCCACGGCCTTTGATCTTTCTGGTGCATCTTAAAATCGAAAGGGGAGAGAGTGTCGCGTGTCGCGTGCCGCGTGACGCGCTCCGCTCTACTTGATGTAGTTCTGGTCGATGGCATGCTTGAAGATGTCGGCCAGACGCTGCTGCTTGGCGGGCTCCTCGAAGGGCGTAATGTTCCAGATGTCGGTGAGAATGGCATTCTCCTTGATGGCATCCAGATCGGCGACCTCCTCGTCCTCCATCATGGTCATGGGCAGCGATTCAATGCCCATGCCGCAGCCGAAGCGACCAAATTGGACGAGCTCCTCCTTGAGCGAGTCCCAGGAGATGATCGACTCGGCATCGCCGCCCAGATCGGTGATCAGGTCCTGGGCACTGTCCAGATAGGCACGCAGCAGCTCGTCGTAGTGCTGCTCGCGCAGCTCCTGGCTGGTGCACGAGTAGATGAAGAAGCTCAGGTCGAGGGCCAGCGAGGAGCAGCGCGCCAGCTGGAAATCGATGATGATAATGCTCAGCGGCTCGCCCTCACTGCCGTAGTTGGTGAGAAAGTTTGGTGTCCAGCAATCGCCGTGCCCGAACACGCTCAGCTTCGAGCGCGTGGACACGAGGTCGATCAGGTCGTCGAAGAGCGACGGCTGCAGGAAGTTGCTGCCAATCGTCTCGTACTTGGTGTTGGGATAGGTCTTGGCAATGGCATCCTTGGCCACGTTCTCGGCCAGGCCCAAAAATCCGGTGTACCACTCGCGTGTGTGCTCCCCGTAGTAGGTCTCCTCCAGGGACGAGGCAGCCTTCTCGAAGTTCTCCGAGTCCAAGGCATTGAAGGCGAGGGCAACACCATGGTAGCGGCCCAGAGTGCGCATCGTCAGCAGGGCATCCTCCAGGGCAATGTAGTCCTGTCTGCAAGAGAACGTTTAAGCCAGGGTAAGGGCAGGGCAAAGGCGGGGGAAAGGCAGCCCCGCTGGAATGGATGCCACTCACCGAACAGGGGCCTTAAAGCCGCGTGGTCCGACATCCTCCAGGACAATAAAGTCGTTGATGCCATCGCACAACGAGGAATAGCACTTGGCGTACTCCACAAAGGGGTTATTCGGCTTGGGCTCCCTGGCGTCCTGGAAGGCCTCAATGGCCGGAATGACCTTCGTGTAGAAGTGGATCTCGTTTCGAAAGAAGATCACCGACCGGAACAGACGACGCCTGTGGAGATTGTCCGGCATAGCCTTGACAACGGTATTCACCTCCAGCTCCTCCTCCTTGCCATCGGGCCCCTCCTTGACGCCAAAGATAGTGATGCGAAAGACGCGGCTCAAGTAGGCATCGCCCTTCTTGCCGCTGGGCCCGAACTTGTACGAGGTGTGCTTGGTGCCGCCCGCCGCCTGGATGATCTCGTCCAGCGTCGCCTCCGTAAACTTTTCGGAAATGTCCGACAATTTGGGTGTTGAGCTCATCTTGCCGGTTGATGGGTTAGTGTGGCCTCTTGGCGATCTCTATCAGCTATTTGTAGCAAACAATCTGCTCTGAAATGAGATAATTTTCAATTGATAAGCGGACAGCACTTGACGTTCAGCGTTAATCAGTGAACAACATTTGCGGCGACTTCTGCCTGGGAATCTTTGGGACACGTCAGTAAGTCCCCAATTACCAGTTGCTGCTGCTGCTGCTGCTGCTGCTGCTGCCGCTGAATGCGCCTCTGCCTCAGTCACAGTAGGCGCTGGCGTAGCGTCGGCGCGGCCTCAACTTACCGGCTTTTTATTGAGTGCTTCTGCTCTGTCGCGCGCTCCTTTTTTGTTTGTTATTTGGAGTATTTTTCCCGAGATTGCTCGCCCTTTTTACCGCAATAACAGACGACGCGCAAAGTGCTTCTGTCGATTGTTTGGGCGCGCGGCTTCCTTTTAAATTGAGAGCAGAGCAATATTTGTTACGGTTGAATGGCCAGCAGAGACACGCACGCACACTCCCACGTAATTTTGGTTGATGTGTGCAACTGACAAGTGTCTGGAATTGAGATGCGATTCGTTAGCTAAATGGCAGAGTTAGCCTCTAGCTATTTAAAGCTAGTTGCATTGCTGTGGGACTGCATAGACTGCTGAAAAGTTGCAGTATTCTATATGTGATTTTATAAATGTACTTTTTGCTGCTTTGCTTTTGCAGCTATTCAAATTAATCACCATACTAATATGCTTTAATTTTTTTTTCAGATATAATTAGTCAGCTATTTCTAGTTAAAGTTACACTCTATGCAAAATGAACTCATCTTCTATAGGCTATATTTATTGTTTAGTTTAGTTAATCATGTTACCACCTCTTTTCTAGCTGTTTTCTTAGCTGTGAACGCAATTTCTACTGCGCATCACTGAGGCACACGCCTCACAGCTGACAGCTCTGATGGGTCGAGTGTTGGTGAACGTGACTCGTCACGTCAAACGCAGTGCTGCACATCGTAAGCAGATTGCACGTGTGCCTTTAAATTTGTTTTCATTTTCATATAAATTTAATCATGACTGCCGTTGAGCCCGGAACGAAAAAGAAGCGCATTTCCAAGAAAAACAAATCCGCCTGGCGCAAGACAGACATACAAGATGTAGAGCAATTCCTCGAGGATCAGCGCCAGGAGGAGCGCGTTGGGTGAGTTTTGGCAAACCGAATCTTAAAGTTGTATCAACTTTATCCATGGCACGTTGCCTGCTGCACGCACAGCACGTTCACAGAAAAGCAGGATGAGGATCTCTTCGTGGTGGACTCCTCGCCACTGAAGGCAAAGCCCAGCACTGTGCTGAGCATCAAGCAGAAGAGAAAACTGAATGCCAAGAAGCCGATGCGCACATTCCAGCCCATGGAGAACACATCCAAAGTGCAGGATCCCATTGTCAAGCGGTAGGTGGTGCGCCTTTGTAGTACTGATCCACCCGAATGCGAATGCCTGTGCGTTTATTTTCCAGCAATCATGTGAAGCAAAAGAAGAATGGACGCAATATCGAGTTGGAGGTGTGCAATCCCACCAAGCCACGCCATCGACAGGCCAACAGCGATCGGGGCCAGTATTATGTGAAGATGGAGCAGCGCCTGGCCGACAAGAAGAACAAGAAGACCAACTTTGACACTGACATTTGGCAGGACGTAGACTTCCGTGACAAGATACCCGGCCTGAAGGACGAAAAGGGGTGGATCAGTCGCGATCTAGCCCTCCACATAGCCGGCAATGTGGGCAAAAAGCTGGTCAAGACACACGCCAGCATGCACCACAAGACGATCAAGGGCAAGAAGTTTGTCGCTCCACATCCGGGCATGAGCTACAATCCAACGCTGAATGCGCACAAGGAGCTGCTGTCGCAGGTCGTGGAGCGCGAGGAGGGCATCATCCAGAAGGAGAAGCATCTGAAGCGCGTCACCACCAGCATGTTTAGCAAGGTCACACCCGAGCAGCGCGACGAGCGTCTCCTGATGGAGATGAGCGCAGGCATGGACGAAGATGAGAAGGAGAAAGGGGAATCCGAGCAGGAGGAGGAACCCCAAGAGGGGGATTCCTCGGATAAGGCGTATCGCACCATCAATGCCGCCGTGGAGAGAGACGCCAAGAAGAGCAAACAGGCGCGCCGCAAGGAGCTCAAGCAGAAGGAGCTGCAGCGCAAAACGGAGCTCAAAAAGAAGCTCAAGCAACAGACGGCCGATTTGATCCGGTAAGGCACTCCCCCCGTCCCCCCCTATCCTTTAGCTTTATCTGTTACTCAATTTGGTGTCTCCTCTTGAAGCATCAAATCGATTCGCCATGAACTGGATGACGAGGCCGAGGACCTAAACGACCTGAAGAAGCGTCGCAAGCAGCGGGCGGAGAAAAAGAAATTCGAGCCGAAGCGCCTGGGGCGGCACAAGTTCGAGGAGCCCGATTTGGATGTGAATATGCCCGAGGATCTGGCCGGTAATTTGCGCAACGTGAAACCTGAGAGCAATCTGCTGAAGGATCGCTTCCATCTGCTGCAGAAGAACAACATGCTGCCCACAACGGTGGCCGTCACCCGCAAGAAGGCCAAGGTGAAGCGCTTCGAGCGCAACTCGCACAAGGATGTGGGCACCAGCTACCAGGATCTGGCCGATCGTCGCCGCGCAGCCGCCAAGGCGGCCAAACAAAACAAGGATACCATTAAAATTTAAGGCCTTCCAACTTTGATTAGATATATTCGGTTGTTTTTTTTTTAACAAAACTAAAAAAAAAACAAAATTAAAATGAAAAAATGTAATTTAATTTTTACAAAAATTAAAATCCTCCTTCTAGATCAGGGACTTGCCCAGACTGCGTTTCTTTTTCGGATTGCTCTTCTTTTTCTTCTTGGCCTGCGGTCCATCCAGCTCCCGATCCTCTGGCTGCTCGATGGGACCGCTTCTCAGGTGTCCACTGCAAAAAGAGAGAGATGCAAGAGGTGGTTGGCCATCATTGAAAGGCGGATGGGAGGGCAATGCTGCTGCGTGCGCCCACCTACCTCTTGACGGAGATGAGACCACTGTTGTCGCCGCTGGTGGGGCCACTGCCGTTCGTTTGCAGCGCCTTGGACCAGTCCTCGTCGGTGCCCTTGATTAGGAACTCGTCCAGCTGTTCGGCCTTGAGCCGCTTCAGCTCCTTGCGCTGCTGCTTGCTCAGCTTCTGGGCGGTCTGGTCCAGCTCCTGGTCGAGCGAGAGGCTGATGGGCTGTAGGTCCTCGCCGCGCGGCAGATCAGCCTCCTGCAGCATGCCACCCTCGATGTGCTGCTCGATGATCGAGCGGAAGCACTGATTGCACTTCTTCATGGCATCAAAGAACTTTGCCAGCAGCTGATTGCCCGGCATATTTAGCTCCTGCCCGAGCATGTCCACCGTCTTGCCCTGCACGCCCAGGGCCAGCAGGATGCCCTGCTGCACCAGGTCCAGCTGCAGGGACTCGAACCGCCCCTGGAAGTACAGCTGGGCGATGTCTGTGAGCAGGTCGAGAATCAGACGAAACTCGGACTGCTGGCGGGCGTAGCTCTCGAGTCGCTTCAGGTCGTGCGGCAAAAAGAACACGTCCAGTGTGTGCTTGTCCAGGGGCTTGCTGCCAGACTCCGACGCCGACTTGTTCTTGAGCAGCGCCAGGCAGAGTTTCGTCTCAAACTCGCGGAACGTCTTGCCCATCAGCTTGAGGACACGCCGCCTAAAGTCCTGATAGTACAGCCCCAGCCAGGGTGTCGTTCCGGGCGTGTGCAGCATAATGCAGCTGTGCTCGGCGGTCAGTTCGTTGGCCTTCTGGCTGAGGTACACGGGCACAAAGCCGGCGCTCTTCCAGAACTTTAGCAGCTCCGGCGTCAGGCCGTACGAGGTGCCAATGTAGTCGACCGGCTCCGGTGTGCGCTCATGCAGGCGCTGCAGGAGTGTGGGAATGTTTTTCCTCGGCCTGATTTGCTCCTTCAGGAGACTTAGCTGCTCCTCCTCCACCTCCTCAATGCCTACGGGGGGTATGCGAAATGTTAGCGCGGGAGATTCGTTTGGGGATCTTGTAATGCTCACCATTTTGGCCACTAGCTTTGGAGGCTGTGGGTCCATCCAGGTCGAGGTTTGTGTGCCTTCCGGCGTAATAGTCCTTGAGCAGCTGAATGGCTCGCTTGCCATAGCCCATCCGCTGGTAATTGGGATGCGTGGCCACGCGCACAATGCGAACGCCGCCGAGCTTGGGAAAGTCCACATCGCCATACTGTTCGGCAATGTTCCAGGGTATGAGGTCGCCGGCGGCCTTCTTGCCGCGGCCCAACGATTCGCTGATGCTCTTCGAGGAGATCTGCCCCTCCAGCGACACCTGGATGACGACTAGAATTTCGGGCAGCTGATCGAGACGCTGCACGGGACCCAGCAGGCAGAATAGATGATGCGCGGGTGCGTCGCTCATCATCTGCAGGTCATTGGGGGTGTTCTTGTAGTGGGAGGACACGTAGATGGAGACGAGGCGATGCAGGAAGGACTCGGCGGCCTTGTGGTAGGAGAAGAGGGCGTCGCGATCAATGTAGTACAGCTCACAGGCATCGGGCGTGGGGCAGCCGGAGCTGATGAACGGCACCGTGCTGGCATCCAGGCAGAGCAGATTGATTAGCCAGCGCTCAATGTCGTCGTTCTCCTGGTAGCGAATCGATTCATCCAGCTTGAGCGGCGGCCGGGCATTGTTCTCCTTCTGCAGTTGCGATATGAGCTTCAGGCTGAGGGAGCGTCCGGTGCCCTCGTAGCCATTGATGGTGCTGGCCATGAACACCAGATAGGGGCCGATCATCTTCTTAACCAGCGGCAGCGGAATGGCCGCCGCCTCGTCGATCAGCAGCAGATCGGCGGCATTCAGCAGATGCGTATCGCTGGGCGCTATATACTGGATTGTCTGTCGGCTGCTGCGCGTGATATTGATCCGGATGATGGCCTTCTTGTAGTCGGCATTGGTCGACCGGATTATGGTGTAGTCCGCGTGCTCCTGATACTCCAGCGCATCGAAGCCCTTCAGCACAAACTCGAACAGCGTGATCAGATTCTCGGGATGCGGCGAGGTCACGTAGACATTCACATAGCCAAAGGCCACGGCTGCGGCTATCGAGAGGCCCAGCGCGGCCGATTTGCCACGTCCACGTGCCGCTGTCAGGGACATGGGCGGCTTCAGCTGCTTGTCCACCAGCGCCTCAATGAACTGGGCCACGGCATTGGCCTGGTCGTAGGTCTTGCAGAGGTTAACCAAGGCGCCAGCCGGCTGCACATTCAGCAGGCTCTCCTTCAGCTCCCTCAGGCTGCTCTCGTTCTCGGAGCGACCCGCACCTGCAGGCTATGCAAAAAAAAGCAGGGAAATGATTAAACAATTGATTGAAACTAATCCCAATCGGTGCTTACATTCACTGGCTCCACGTTGATGGTCTTTGAGCTGAGCGGCAGCACGGTCAGGTCATCGTTGACCACAAGGCAGCGCTTGCAGTCGGCCAGCGACAGAATGAGGCGCTCGTTGAAGCGACAGGTGACTGTCTGGTGGGCCTCGGTGCGGAATCGTTTGTGCACATCCATGCTCATCGTGTAGAGCTGCTTCAGCGACTGGAGGGTCTTCAGCAGCAGTATGATTAGGCCGCCGCCCTCGACCGTTTCCACGGTGCGTGCCAGCAGGTTCGGCGTCAGAGCCTCAAAGTCCTGCAGCACGCACACGCCATAGGTGCGACCCAGTACCGCATGTGTCTCCGAATAGTAGCGGCCATGGATGGTGGTGGCCACGCGGAAGGAATCGAACAGATCCGCCTCGTTCACGTCCACCTTGCCCACGGCAATCTTTTTGGCTCGCTTTTTGCCATGGCTGTGGGGAAGGAAGGGAATTTACATGAATGTTGGGTGGGCACTTGACACTGATTCCCCACTCACTTGGATATGGCCTCGTCTTTGTTCTTGTAGCACCACAGCACTGTGGGGCGCGCCTTCACCGTGGACTTGGTGAGAATGTCGTAGAGTATGGGCACTTGGTCGCGCGCCTTGTCCCCGATGATGATGAACATGGTCCGATGGCCCAGCTTGACGCCATTCTCGATCATCACGCGTATGCGATTGTCAATTTTCTTCTTGACCATTTTGGCTTCTAGCGCTGTTCTGTCAACTGTGTCTTGTACTAGGCTTCTAAAATCTAATAAATAAACGAATTAACTGCGAACGAAAGCCGCAGAAGTTCAAAATGCACGTGTGCGCTCTACTCTCGATGCGCATCTCTATGCGCGATAGTTGTTACTCTTCACAAAGTATTCCCAGTGACAGTTATTGTATTTGTTTATGTTTTTCGGTGCCGTGTGCACGGCATCAGCTATCCGAACCAGTTGTGATGGCTTGAAAACATAGTTTATAGGTAATTGGAATGTTCATGCATTAATATATCTTATTATTGCTTGCGGCTGTCACATTACAGTCACAGTACCATCGGTATCAACATATCGCCCATCCCCAGAAGAACAGCGATAGCAGCTCCAAATAATAGTTCCACTCTGAACGAACTAAATGGCTCATGGGGAACCAAATGTTAGATAACAAAGCCACGCATAAATACATTCCAAAGTGGGTATTTTTTTAACTGATTCGATTATATATTCAATCATAATTTATAATAGTTTGGCAAGTATTTAACATGTATATCCAATAAATGTGTTTTATTAGGAGCAGACTGAACTAGTTCCGCAGACTCTTCACAGCACTGGGAAGTCTTGTCTTTTCCAACACTCAACTGGCACGCACGTTTTTTGTAAACAAATGTTTTTTGAGTTTTTAAATATTTAAATATTATTTAAATACTGCAGCTACAAGCAAATATAAATCGTAGCCATGTCCTCGTGGAAGAATGCCAACAAGAGCAACCAGAAGGTGCATCGCGAGCGTCACCAGCCTGATGCACGCCAGCATCTGGGCCTGCTCGAGAAGAAGAAGGACTACAAGAAGCGCGCCCTCGATGCCCAGCGCAAGGAGAAGACTCTGAAGCTGCTGTATAAGCGTGCCCAGGACAAGAATCCGGACGAGTTCTACCACCACATGATCAACTCGAAGCTCTCGGACGATGTGCACCACGAGAAGCAGGCCAAAGATGAGCACACACCCGAGCAGCTGGCCCTGATGCAGACCCAGGATCTCAAGTATGTGGTGATGAAGCGTACCATAGAGCGCCGCAAGATCGACCGCCTGAAGGTCGACCTCATGGACATAGACGCCGCCAAGACCAACACGCACTACACCTTCGATGAGCAGGGCAAAAAACACACAGCCACACTGGGCGAGCGCCTCAAGGAGTCGGAAGCCACAAAGGTGAATTTTGCCCCTTTCCCCCGTCCATCGACTGGCCAATGACTAATGTTGCTTCTCTCCCCCATACCAGGAGCCCCTCGCACCCAATAGCACAAAGCAGCAGCGCATCAATGAGCTGAAAAAACGAGTGCAGCGCGAACGGGAGTTGAGCATTGTCCAGCAGAAGCTGCTGCTGAAGAAGCAGCTCAAGCAGCCGCGTCTCATCAAGCCACAGAAGCTGAAGCCCGCCACAGCGGATAGGCCACCGGTCTACGAGTTCCGCTACGAGCGCAAAAAGTGAGGGATACACAAATAAGTTACTCTCCTTTTTTTTTTTTGAATAAAGCGATTTAAGTGTTACTTGGTATTAAGTCGAGACTTTCCTTTTTTTTTTTCTTAAACAAATCTTTTTTTCCACAGTTTTACAGTAAAAATTACATTTTAAAATTGTTTTGATTTTTTTTTAAATTTAGCTGGCATTAATTAAATATTTAACTGGTAAAAATTTTAGAAGAGCTTTTAATTTTTGTTGTTTTTTCCCCATTATGAAAAAATCATACAAAAATTTTACTTGAAAAACAAAAAAAATACTGCAAAAAAAACGTACACCATAAAAACAAAAAAAAACGTTTAGCATTTTTTTGGGTTATTTTGGGTTATAAACTTGGCTAATATCCAATAACCGAAACCGTGCTTTCCCACAACCTGCCATAAAAAGCTGCAGGTAGCGGAAAAGCCTCATTAGTAGCGCTGTTAATAGTTAATTAGTTCACAAACCCCTCTCACTTACCATTGACAACAACCAACTTTGGTGTGTATATAGTCTATCTTTAGTACCTAAAGTTTTCGCTTTTTCCTTGCCAATCTACCACAGACACGAACCATGTTCTAAACTGAACGAACCCACTAGAGGGCGGCGACCAATCCATTGGGGTTGGTTGCATTGCTAAGAGTTCCATTTGCTGCCTCACAACTTTTTGACGGTTATATTTATCATGCCTGTACACATATATTACAATATATGTATGTTTGGCCTGGCCTTGTTTTTCCCCATACTTTAACGATCGCTATGTACTTATTTTTTGTGGAATTTGTTAGATATTTAATCAAAAATTTGAGCATATTGATGGGACGACGCTTTAACTTCTCTTACTTCTGAGCTGCGTAAATTGGATAGTTAGAGAAGGTAAGTCAAAGCAAAGAGTTAAAGGCTTCGACTATGGAAATAATCCCTAACTCTGATGCCTCTTAAAAGCGGATGCAAAAGCGAAACTATTGCGGATCGCTCGAGCTTCTGCCAGGCAACTAATTTCATGTGAAACCTTGACCTAGGCCTAGGGTGGTGTGTCGTGTCGTGTCGCTCCCTCATCCTCATACATACAAAATCTCTGCCGCATTCTGCACCGCAATCGCCTTTGGCTCGACCACCCCTTCGTTCCCGTTCCTATTCCCATTCCTGAATGCCCGGGCAGGGGCACAAAGTTACGTCTCAAATTACAAACCCAATTGATGCTAGTTAAAAAATTTGTGGAGGTTTTTCTTTCAGTCGCGTATTTTGTTGGCTTTGTTCGTCCCGTCCCGTCCCGTACCACCCCACCCCACCCCACCCCCTGGGCACGACCCGAACACTGTGATTGCTGTTGTGATGCGCACATGACAAGTCCGATTAGGGCCGCCGGCTCTGGTCTCTGGTCTCTGGTGCCTGGTCCCTGGCTACGGTGCTGTCAGCGAGTCCATCCTCTCCTCTCCGTGTGTATAGCCCCGTGTAGTGTGGGTCGTGTGTACCCGTGCCCCTGCCCCTTCCCGTGCCCTGAAAAGTGTCAACACAACACAGCCATCTATTTTGTGCATAATTTGGCGTGCCAAAACGCGCGACGCGACTCATCAGAATATGGTGTCATATGTTTTTATGGTGTCTGTCTCTATGTCTCTCTGTCTATCTGCCTGTCGCCTGCGGTCTCTGATTTTTACCCTAACAAGAAGCCCTAAACGAAATATGGAAAAACACCGAATCTGTTTGCGTGCCATGATTGAGTGTGTCTCTGAAGCCTTTGAGCATGGTGGGTGGGGAGGAGGGATTTATGTGCATAGCTAGTGCTAGGATATATTGGAGGGTTCGGGCTACGCATGGGAGAGCCTGGATCACATCCTCAACCCACAAATCTTTCACAACTTTCACTCGGCTTTTGCAGCGCCAATAACCAAAACAAATAAATGGATTGAGAATAAAATAGGAGGCTGCAGAGACATAACTGGTATTATGTACTCAGATCAGTGGCAGGATCGCAGTAGCCTCCTCCCACGCGTACTATGTGCCCCACTTAAAACCCCTCTGGAAATTTGCTTATCAAACTAAAAATTGGCTTGCGAATGACATCCATCTATGGCCTGCATTCCCCCCGCAATAAGCTGAGCAAGTGCCACGCCCACAGCCACATCCTCAGCCTCATCCTTAGAAATATCCTGAGCCATAAAACCATGACATTGGATGGGTGTGGAACGTGAAACGTTCTGGGGGGCACGTGTAAAGTTTGTAGCCCCGGTCACGTGGCCGCACGTGGCACGTGGTACACTCGTCCCGTGGCATGGCCCCCCTCACCGCTGAACCGTCAGCGTCACCGTCACCGTCACCGTCAGCGTTGTCGCCTGGGCTGCTGTGATAAGCGCAACCTGGCAACTCTGCACGCGTGTTCCTGAAGAGATGTCAGAGACCAGGTCTCCCGTTTCCGTTTTTGCAGCAGCTTGGGTTGCAGCCCCGCCTCTTGGACGTACCGCTTATCATGATGCAGCATCAGCATCAGCAACAGCAACAGCAGCAGCCACAGCGGAAGAGGCAAGCTACAGAGTAGACGGGGGCGGGCTGCCCGCCTGCCCGCCTGCCTACGTCAATGGTTTTGTTCCCGTAAATATCTTAATTCGCCGCTTCAGCGACCCCGACACGCGTGAATCGTGTGCATTTGACATGAGAGAAATGCCTGGGACTTGGTTTGGGTCCAGCAGCAAAAGAAAAGCGCGGAAAAGGCCGAAAAGCGTTTGCGCCCAACACCCCCACCCCCACCCCATCCACTTCCATTTCCATTCACACGCAGCGACCTAACGAGCTAACAACAAAATGTATAATCCCATTTCGGGCACATAATAATCATACAAATTCGTATATAAAAAGAGTGTCAAATAGTGTTGCGGAGTGGAGTGGAGTACGTGGAACGTGGAACGTGGGAACGCGGTCTAAAGGGGGAGCTGCGATTGGGAGCAGGATTCACAGGGATACTCCTCAGTGGGTGTAGAACTGTAGACTCCTCAGTCACAGGCAGTGCAGGCAGGCAGTACTTGGAGTACTCCAAAACGGTCTGGCAGAGTGGCAAATAGATGACTGATCTTTGCTTCTATTACTATAATAAATAGTACACCCATAAGGGCAGAGGTTAGGCCACTACTTTGGCTTAGAGAGGAACTTTATAAACAGAGAAGAATTAAAGAAGATTTTCCAATGCAAAATCAAATAATTACTTCACTGGCATCACTCCAAATGAGCCAAAAGAGTGGGATGTACTTGCTGTTGTGCAACATAATTGCCATGTGGATTTACCTGTCTGCTGCCTGCTGTCTGCCTGTTGGGCAGTCACACACAACCCCTAAGAACCCCTAAGAACCCCTGGCGCTAGAGCAAGTCCCGCATATGCCTGGACAGGGGCACGCGCCAGGAGCTAACAATCCAAGCCAAAAAAAAAAGGGGAATGGAAAAACGAGTGCAAGTCGAAGCCGAATCCGAATCCGAACGAGAGCCATTAATATAAATGCCAACTAAGAAGTCAACAGGCGCCGCACTAGACAAATCCCATAAGCAAATTCGGGGCAGCACTCCATGCCACTCCATTCCACACTCCACGCAGCACAGCACAGCAGCAGAGCAGAGCAGTGCGTGCCCCTTGGATCGCTCAAGTGGCCAACCCCGCGCAGTTGCGACATTCGCCATTCGACACTCCAAAAACGCTTGGAGAGAACACCACGAGGACGGAACAGGAACAGGAACGGAACGGAATTCGTACACGGATTTTTTATTGTGCGAGTTAACTTTGAAGTGTCGCTGTTTATGGGCTGCGGAAGTGCCAGAGCTATAGAGACCAAAAAACCCGTCCATTCCCTGGTCCTGGTCCTGGTCCTGGTTCATCTGCCCGTCAGTCAGTCAGTCAGTCAGTCGTTCTGTTCGACTGGGCGGACTAACCCCTAAATTGACCTTTAAAACTCCCAAATGCGCAATTTATCATTTCCTCACCAAGGAAAACCCCTAACACAACCCAACGCAAAGGGATTCCGTTCATCCATTGTGGGATGGGGTGTGGTGGATGGTACGAGTAGATGCGAATACGGATACGGATTTTTGACAGGGCAGACGACTGCCGCCTGCCATCAATCGTTTAAAGAGGAGCAGGGCAGGGCAGGGCAGGGCAGGGCAGAGCAGGGCAGAGCAAGGCCGGAGACAGAGCCAGTGTGCGATAGCGATAGCGACAAATCTGATATCAGATGCGTCCCGAGACGAGGCTTAAGTGCGTATAAAGCGTACACCCACAAAAATCGCCCTCCATGCACAATCGCTGAACCCCCTGGAACCCTGGACCAGGGAAAGTTTTTGGCAACACTTTAACCCATTCGCTTGGGCATTCATTCTCTGTGCCTCATATGAATGTCATTTGCGGTTGGGGGGGCGGGAAGTTGATGGAATGGAATGGCAATTGGAATCGTTTCCTGGTGGGTTACGAGGCAGAGTCAAGGCCAGAGCCACAGCCAGAGCCACAGCCAGAGCCACAGCCAGAGCCACAGCCACAGCCAGAGCCACAGCCAGAAGCAAGTGGTTCGAAACTTCGTAAAGTATTTCTTTTGAGGATCAGGCGTTCATTTGAATCTTCTGTTGGATCTTTAACTGTCAGCTATGCATTATCTGTATTATGTTACATATTACCTATCCGTATAAGCCTGTGGCTGCACCATGCACCATGCACCAGTCCCTGCAACAGTAACGCATTCGACCGAGGGGCCGTTATACCTCTCATTTCTGTGTGAATTCTTTAGCTTGCATTTCCATAATATTCAGTGCCCACACATCCTGCATTCTGCATTCTGCATGCGTATATCACATCTCTCCTTGCTGCTACTCTAACCAAAACTCAGTCGGTTATCCTCTTGTTGATCCTCTTAAAATCTGGTTAAGGATTCGTAAAATATCTGCTGTTCCAGCCAGCATCCATCCATCCATCCCTCCCTCCCCCAAAGTTCCATCTATCCTTTTTTGTTGTGTGTGTGTGTGTGGGGGGGGGGAGGAGTGTTAGTTATTTTTTTTGCTATGCCAAATGGGCAAACAGAACTGAG